CTAGCACATGGTTACGTGGTTAGCTTGCCACTTGGCTGCTCTAACCAATAATTCACTGCACCTACTCACAATAGGCTAAGGGAACACTAAGTCTTCTGCTTTGTTTCTTAAACCCAAGTGCTTTACAATCACAAAGCAAATCCTCCTTCTCTTTATGATATCCCATTCAGTCCAACGGTCTAAACTGAGGTCTGGTAGCCTATGTGGAAAACAAAAGAAATACAGTATCATGATTTAACTGGCGCTCTTGTCCCCCCAACCGGAGAACTTGTTCTTGCATGACCTATTCACACTAGGTGGCAGCATTAAGGATGTTCCTGTAGCTTGCCAGGTCTCCAGTTTATGAATATGCACCCTCTGGTGTATCTATTAAAATCCAGACTGTTTCTCTTTTTTTTCTTTTAAAAGTGCAGTGAAGTGGGGCTGAATAGCAGGAAGAACTGAAGCATGGAAAAGACACTACAGCAGGAAGAGAACAGCCCTGGTTCAGCAAATCCTTGAGACACAGATTGTTGGAGGCTGGTGGAGCATTTTGAACAAGTATTACTTCATGCTTGTCCTGTTCCTATGCTCTTCCTGAGGCATCTGCTGTTGGTCACTGTCCCTCAGCTGCATGGTCTGGTCCAGTATGTCTGTTCTTATATATGGAAAGCATTTCTTACAAATGATACTAAAAATACTGTGACCAACATCATGAATGGCTTTGGGAGTTAGAAATAAGAAGTCCCTTTCAGAATTAAAACCTGAAGAAAGCTGGTTCAACTCTGCCCTCGACAATTTTCTGTTTTCATAAACGCCTGAGCTCCGGCAGCTGTAGCTACGCGTCTGAGGTGTGGGCTTCATGTGGCTGAGCAGTGAGATCCCATAAGCCACCTGTCTGCAGCAGTGCAATGATTTCTGGAGAGAACTTCAGTTGCCCAGGGCCAGAACCTTACTGAATTGTGTGAAAGCCAGAAACCTGAAACGGAGAGCGGAGCATGTACAGAGCTCCTAACAGCCGGTTAGTCCAGCAAACACCTCTGCAAATGTCTCTAATGCCAAGAAACAATCAAAGGCGTTATGCTGAAGTGCACCAATGATTCCCTGGGCCTGCTGTTACCTACCATCCCAGGCACCTTAACTTAGTTATCAGCCTTCCTCTCCAGCCCAACAAAGAGAAAGAAAAAAAGAAAGAGGATGGTGAAGGATCAGAAGAAAGGATGCACAGACAGCCCTTGGCATGGGCAAGAAGAGAGGCATTATTTGGGATGGAGCATGGGGGATACAGAGCTCACTGAGTTTTTACCAGGCTGCAAGACAGTATCTTGCACGAAGGAGTGTGTATGGGTGGGAAGGGAGTGGAAAGGTCACAGGCAAACCCCGACGCATGGAGGGATGGGAAAGTAACACGCAGACAGCTGATGAAAAAAAAATGGATGGACATGAAGATCCACCGCTATGTGCTGTGGGTGACCTGCATATTGGTACATAGGAAATCCCAGCCATTTCTCAAAAAAAAAAAGAACGATTTAACTATGCTACACCCTGTATGAAAAAAAAAACCAACAAAACCCAAAAGGACTCCCCTGCCTTAACACTGGTTACACTCTATCTGTAAGACCAGAGGCAACTGGAACATACAGAGAAAGCAAGCTAGGGAAACAATCATGACAAAGGGATATTTCTGTGCTCCAAGGGACAACATGCAAAATCTTTTGAGACTTTTTCAGTATTGTGATATGGAAGAGGTTTGGCAAAGGCTCTGAGATGAAGACAGCTTTCAGTCATCAGTCAAATGCTGCATTTGCAAGAGGTTCAGACAACAGGTTTCAAAATAAGCAATTTGGGATTACCAGGGTGCGTTCAAGTCACCTCCCCAGCAGGAGGCAGCAAACAGATGACTATCGGAATCAACACTAGAAATACTGGCAAGCTGCTGCCCCAAAGATCCTAAATACTGCACAGTCTGTAGGTCACCAAAGTTACAGCGCGCTCTATGGGTAACCCTAGCTTTTTTCAGTTGTGAATTATTTGCTCCCAAAACCAAGCTGTTTTTTTTCTTAGATATCTTTGAATTTTCTCCTTGCACAGTTCTTTAGAGGCTATTATAGGGAAACTGAGGCAGAATTATAGGAGAGGTATAGCAGAGGCAATTGCTGGCTTGGGTTTATACCACTGTCCACCAGGAGCCCCAGGCCCTTTTGGCAGAGCTGCTGCCCAGCCCTCAGCGCCCAGCCTGTACCTCTGCAGAGGCTGCTCCATCCCAGGGCCTGCTGGTTCCCTGCAGCTGGTGCGGTTTCTGCACACAGGGGGCTTCACAACTATACAATTAAACATTCTTCAGGCTGACCCATCCAGGAGTAACAGGTAGTCTCTCAGTCCTTTCCCTGACATAAACTCAGACAGCCCACCTCTATTTTTACCATAATTCCTAGGTTACGGTGATAATCCAGTCATGCTATAGTGCATCTCCTGCAGGCAAACCAAGGAAGGCCATCCAGTCTTACAGAGCTGCATGTATGCAGACACACACAGCAGCAGCCCTCACCATTCCTGTGCTGGAGAGGGCTTCTTCGAGCAGGCCATCAAAAAATATTTTATGGAAACACAGTTTATGAAACAAAGGAGGAAACAGGTCAAATTACAGTTAGGCTAGCAAGCTGAAATAAAGTATCTCTGAGTTTCTTTTGATCCCAACTGCATGATAAAGGGTTGAATACTGCTGATACTGCAGTCATCTTTGGTAGTGAGTTTACTAGACAGAAGTAAAGTTACACAGAAGCGATCCCAGGGTTCCTCATGTATGGATAAGGGCATATGGATGTCAGGAGGGTACTGGTCTCCATGGGAAGGCCATCCCTGCCCATACAGTCTCAGAAAAGAGCATCTCTGGTGATTGAGGAAGCAGCAGCTGCAATGAGGTCACTGTGAACTAGTCTGACAGAGTAGCTTAGATGAGCTCT